GACAACAGTTTACATCAAGTACTAATGGAAGAGTTGTACTGAACCAAAGTCCCAACATTACCACAGCATACTTGGGACTGCTATATGTGTAGAACTGTGGAAAGACGGGGACAGATGGAGTAAGCCTTAGAAGTGTTTTGTAAACTCTTTGCACTTACTAATCTCTATCTTTATATCATTTGGCTTCATTGAACCCTTTGCTCTTACATTTTCATTCCTAAATCCAGTGTCATATCTTTTGTGGGAAAATATAGCTGCATTACTATAAAATATATACAGATGATTCTGGTTACACAGGCAGGCCTTATATTGGAAGAAGATGCCATCTAGAACTTTCATAGCTAGAGAGGAGACGTCAATGCCTGGCTTCAAAGCTTTAAAGGACAGGCTGACTAACTTGTTAGGAGCTAATGCAGCTGGTAACTTTAAGTTGAAGCCAATGGTTATTTACCATTTCAAAAATCCTAGAGTCCTTAAGAATTATGCTAAATCTACTCTGCCTGTGCTCTATAAATGAAAGAGCAAAGCCTGGATGACAGCACATCAGTTTACAACATGATTTACTAAATATTTTAAGCCCACTGTTGAGAGCTACTGCTCAGAAAAAAAGATTCCTTTCAAAATATCACTGCTCATTGACAATGCACCTGGTCACGCAAGAACTCTGATGGAGATGGACAAGGAGATTAATGTTGTTTTCATGCCTGCTAGCACAACATCCATTCTGCAGTCCATGGACCAAGAAGTAATTTCAACTTTCAATCTCAATATTTAAGAAATGCGTTCCGTAAGGCTATAGCTGCCATAGATAGTGACTCCTCTGATGGATCTGGGCAAAGTAAATCAAAAACCTTCTGGAAAGGATTCACCATTCTAGATGCCGTCAAAAACATTAGTGATTCACGGGAAGAGGCCAAAATGTTAACATTAACAGGAGTTTGGAAGAAGTTGATTCCAACCTACATGGATGACTTTGACAGGTTCAAGACTTCATTGGAGGAAGTAAGTGCCAATGTGGTATAAATAGCAAGAGAACTAGAATTAGAAGTGGAGCCTGAAGATGTAACTGAATTGCTGCAATTTCATGATAAAATTTTAATGGATGAGGAGTTGCTTTCTACGGATGAGCAAAGGAAGTGGTTTCTTGAGATAGAATCCACTCCTGGTGAAGATACTGTGAAGATTGTTGAAATGAAAACAAAGGATTTGGAATTTTGCATGAGCTTAGTTGATAAAGCAGCAGCAGGTTTTAAGAGGATTGACTCCAATTTTGAAAGAATTTACACTGTGGACAAAATGTTATCAAACAACGTTGTATGCTACAGAGACATCATTTATAAAAGGAAGAATCAATAGATGCAGAAAACATCATTGCCTTATTTTAAGAAATTGCCCCAGCCACCCCAACCTTCAGTAACCACCACCCTGATGAGTCAGCAGCCATCAATATCGAGGTAAGACCCTCACCACCAAAAAGACTGCCACTCGCTGATGTATCAGATGATGGTTAGCATTATTTTAGCAAAAAAATATTTTTAATTAAGGTATGTGCGTTTTTTTAGACATACTGCTATTGCATGCTTAATAGACCACAGTATAGTGTAAACATAACTTTTCATGCACTGGGAAACCAAAAATTTGTGTGGCTTACTTTATTGCAACATTCGCTTTATTGCAGTGGTCTGGAACTGAACCCACAATATCTCTGAGGTATGCCTGTATGTAATATTCTGATCCAAGGCTCAAGTCTAACTTATTCTTCAGCTTTGACCCAGGCTTCAACATCTTTCCCTTTTCCCCTAGAGGTTGGATCAATTTAGACCTCAGTTAAAAAAATACTTTCTGAGATCTGGCCGAAACTTTCTTATTGTTATCCCGAGATGAGGCCACTGGGAAAAACTGGGCAACCCAGGAGGGTCAGAAACAAACCTTGGCACATTTATTAAAAAGTATACAGGGGACTGCAGCTCAGTGGTAAGGCCTGAGGACACACACAGAGTGCTCTGAATCACCACACCCAAGATGGGCTGTAGAGGACAGGATAGCCACGGCTCAGAACGTGTTTGCTACATACTCTCCTTTAGAGACAGGAATGTTAACAGGTCCTTCTCAAATCAGGAAAGACCACAGCGCCCTTTCCAACTGCATGTGACCAACCTTCAAGCTGTTTAAGCAATATGGCCATTGTGTGGGCTTCAAATAACGGCTGTACTTGAGAATATTACATTCCAACACTCATCCCCTTTTAGAGACCTGATAAATTTGGAGGTGAGTTCCATGGCATTTGGCTTTGTTGCACACTTTCTCCTGCTGGAATGAGAGAAGGAGCTGAGGCTGACTGCATACTCCAGGAGAGAGAAACCTAAATTTGGACCTCTGCCCTCCACCGGATTCCGTAATTCTCACACAACAGCTTCAGGTAAGGTGCAGCTCAGATTTCCCTGTAATGTCTTTTTTACTTCATTTCTACTCCTCTAACCCTGTGTTGTATTTTCTCCATAAAAAAATGTAAATTAGAACGGCTTTCCTGTAATGGAAATTGGTTAGATTCTCAACTTTATAACATAGTCTCCAGCATCAGAATTGGTCTAAATAAATGTGAAGTTACATGTGTTTTACTTATAAATATGTAAGTAATATATTTAATAAAAATAGCAATGTTTTACTTAAACTGAGATGTTAGCTGAACCACACAACCACATGGGCCAGAACAAATTGTGGAATGAAATGTTTATTCTATAGCTTATTTCTTATTCAAGTCACATATACCAGATTTCCTGACCTGAATATGGAGCAGAAGAAAATACCAGGCAGTAAGAGAAGAACATTTTTCTATTAAAGCACATTGGCTACCACATAGGAAAAAATGTCAGTTACAGACTATAAACACATTTTCTTTAAAAGGGAGAAATCTAAGACAGTTCACTTATCTGTTTAAAAACAGGAGGACAAGATTACAAAAGCCATTCAATAAAATCATTTAAGGATATGGACAATTCGATACAGAACAGACTGAGAGAGAAGACAGCAAAAAGCAGTGTGTGTCCACACCCACACGCACACACACACACACCGTTCAAGCATGATTAGAATTTAACAACTACAAGAAGCACAGAGCACAAAGTCGAGTGGATGAAGGGGACATAAGGAAAGAAGAAGTGATTGAAAGAGAGAGGCAGCTTCAATGGGGGTGTCTTGAGGAGGCTCCTGTCGTGGAGATCCTCCCATTCACTTGGACAGAGAGTGTATCCCCATAACAAATCAAGTCCTTGTTGTCTTGCCTTTGTTTTTAGCAAACTGGAGATTCAAGTCTTTGCAGTTTTTTCACTTTTGTCCCTGACTACAGGCAATTGTTTGCTAATTGGTCACTATTAGGGCAAGTCCATTGATTGAAGCAACAAATATTCAAAGAGCACCTATAATACACTAGATACTGTCCTAGATTCTGGGATTACATCAGTGAGGAAAATAATGTCCTCCTCTTGTATTCAGGTGGTTGAGACAGAAAATACTAAGTTTATAATACAATACCAGGCAGTGACATGTGCTTTGAAAAAAACTGAAGCAGGATTGGAAAACAGAGTTCAAAGATGAGCTAAATTAGGGAAGGCCTTTCTGAGTCTCTGATTTTTACCAGAAATCTGAACGAAGTAGCAAATTAAGGCATGTGAATATTGGCAAGAGACAGAGAGGGACATTCCAGGCCTTGATATGGGCCACACTTGGTATAATCCAGTATAGTGTCCCCCCTTATCCTGGGGGGCTACGTTCCAAGACCCCTGGTGGATGGCTGAATCCATGGATAGTACCGAACACGGTATATACTGTTATTTTCTACACATATTTACCTATGACAAAGTTTAATTTATAAATTAGTCACAGTAAGAGATTAACAACAACTAGTAATAAAATCAAACAGTTATTAACAATATACTATAATAAAAGTTACTGTAGATCTTAGCAACCTTGTCATACAATTTTTTTCTTTCCTTATTACGTCGAAAACTTTCACCCCTTCACTTAAAGGAAGTACTTATGACTTCTCGTTAGCATATCCAAATTGCCAGCATCCCTCCTCTTGCACTTTGGGGCCATTATTAAGTAAAATAAGGGTTTCCTGAACACGCACACTGCGATACCCCAACAGTCAATCTGATAACTGAGAGGGCTACTAAGTGACTAAAATGCAGGTGCCATATACAGCAAGGATTTGCTGGACAAAGGGAAGATTCATGTCCCAGGCGGGACAGAGCAGGACAGGGAGAGATTTCCTCATGCTATTCAGAACAGCATGCAATTTAAAACTTATGAGTTGTTTATTTCTGGAATTTTCCATTTAATATTTTCAGGTTGTGGTTCTCTGCAGGTAATTGAAACTATAAAAGTGAAATCACGGATAAGGGGTGACAACTGTACCAGCACGGCTGGAGTGGCATGAGTAGAGGGAAGAGTGGTAGGAAATGAGGGCATGGAGGAAGGCCTCATTGGCCATATAAGTGTGGTAAGGAATTTGGGGTTTACTTTAAGTGTGTTTAAAAGATTGAGAGCAAATGGATAACACTATTAGATTTTTTTTAAATGCAGTCTAGCTACTATGTGGGTAATAGTCTCTAACATATAAAACGGAAACAGGCAATTTAAGAGGCTTCTATAGTAGTTTAAGTGAGAATTTCCTGGTAGCATCGACCAGGGGGAAAGCTGATGGGAATGCTAAAATTGTTCAGATTCTGAGTATTTGGAACACGAGGCCTAGAGGATTTGTTGATGGTTTGGGTGTAGCATATTGGGAGGAGTGGTAAGGTGTGGCCATAATTTGCGGCCTGAGCAACTGAGTAAATGGAGGCACCGTTTAGTGATAATGCCGAAAATCTTTAAGTAATCTGAAACTATGCTTCTAATTGAATTGTAAAGAAATTCAGAGAACAACTTAATAAGAAAACTGCTGTATAGTCATCTATAACATGGTAATGTCTTATTATTTCAGTTTTAGGAGGAAAAAAATGAAAAGCCCAGGAGGGAATAATCACTCTGACCCTGTGAGTGAATTCATTCTTCTTGGATTCCCTTGTACCTGGGAGATTCAGATCCTCCTCTTCTCACTCTTCTCTGTAATCTATGTCCTGACGCTAACTGGAAACCTGTGCATTATCTGTACAGTGTGGTGGGACCACCATCTCCACACACCCATGTACATCCTGCTAGCCAATTTTTCATTCCTGGAGATCTGGTATGTCACTTCTACTGTCCCCAATATGCTAGCCAATTTTCTATCTGAGACCAGAACCATCTCCTTCTCTGGCTGCTTCCTCCAGTTTTACTTCTTCTTCTCCATGGGCACCACTGAGGCCTTCTTCTTGTGTACCATGGCCTTTGACAGGTACCTTGCTATCTGCAGACCACTGCACTACCCCACTGTCATGACAGTTCAATGCTGCATCAGAATGGGAGCCGGCTGCTGGGTGTGTGGCTTCTCCTCTTTTGTCCTCCCAGTTTATCTCATCTCCCAGCTTCCTTTTTGTGGCCCCAATACTATTGATCACTTTTTATGTGACCCAGGACCCCTTATGAAGTTGTCCTGTCTGCCAGCTCCTGCCACTGAGATCATCTGTGCCATCTTTAACTCAGTAATAATTTTCTCCACTTTCCTCTTCATTACCAGCTCCTACACCCTGGTGATCAGAGCTGTGTTGAGGGTCCCCTCAGCAGAAGGCCGGCGCAAGGCTTTCTCCACATGTGGCTCCCATCTGGCCGTGGTGTCCCTGTTCTTTGGCTCCATCATGGTGATGTATGTGAGCCCAACAGCAGGCAATCCAGCAGGGTTTCAGAAAATTGTAACTTTATTTTATTCTGTGATGACTCCACTTTTCAACCCCTTGATGTTTCAGAAAATTGTAACTTTATTTTATTCTGTGATGACTCCACTTTTCAACCCCTTGATCTACAGCCTCCAGAATAAGGAGGTGAAGGCGGCCCTGAGAAAACTGTTTAGGATTATAAGAATTGGTCAAAGACAGCCTCTGAAGAACTAGAGTCCACAAATGTGTAGGACATATAGTGATATAAAATTATAGGAGGTTAATGGTCTTAAGTAAATTTGAGAGACAAATATGTTTTCTATATTCCCTGGAATACTTTTAAGGATACATTTCAGTGAAGCAAATAGCAAATAAGATCTTACCAGAACTTGCATAAATCATTTGTACTAGGCTTTATTATGTTAATATTCCTGTGTGTATGGCATGGAAACAGGAAAATGTCAGACATTCTCAGGCATTATTGAAGAAACAACCGTATATTACCCGAATGTCAACTGGTCAGTTTCTCTCTCTTACAGATTTAAGTAAATTTGTCTCTGACCCTCAGTTTCATAGTGATTAGAGGTCTAGAGTCCCCAGCACTATCTCCTACACACACACACACACACACACACACACACACCATACAAACATGTTCCTGCATGCTTTTCTCCTCCCAGTCCTGAATCCACCTTCTGTCTCGTCTTGATCACATTATTCTGGATGTGAGACTTATCTCCTTCATATTTTATCCAAAACCAAACTCATTCTAGCTTAGTGTAGGTTTATTAACCTGACTACAGGTTGGGTTTAGAGAGAGTTGGAGGAAGGGTCACCATACTGAACACCCAATCAGTTTCTCATATTATACCTGGTGCTGCCTCATTCTCCTCCTTCTTCATCTTCTTCCCACCACCCATGAGAGTGACCAGAACATCTTTCGCTTTCTTATTCACAGTAATTTTGTCCATGTGAGGCCATTTGGGGTTTGAGATTCTTCCTCAAGTGGGCTTGTCAAAAAATTTTTTCTCAGGAAACCTAATTTTTGAACAGGATCTTGTGAAATAGTTTTCTCCAACTGGTTACTCTTTGAGTTGTTTTAGGTTCTTATAACTTGATGTATTCTTTCCTTATCTTAGTATCACCCAGGAACACTCAATGCAAAAGAATAAATGTACTGAAACAGAATAGAGGTGAGACCTGGAAGCAAGATTACCTGGAAAAAACTTAATGAAACAATAATAATTCATATCTTAAGTGCTTTATGATTTTTAATGTACTTTTCTCCCTATATGTATTAGAATGAACACTAACCATGCAGAGAGGATAGTGTGTGTGAATCTGAGGATAGAAATAAGATGTATAGCCAAAGTCTGAAATGAGGTATATTATTCTCCAGTTAATATTCAAAGTGGCCTGGAATTATCATCCTTTATCTCTTAGGTAGGATGGCTTTGGTATCAAGGTAATTCTCGCCTTGTAAAATGAGTTTGGAAGTATTCCGTCCTCTTCAATTTTTTGGAAGAGTTTGAGAGGGATTGGCATTAACTCTTCCTGAAATATTTGGTAGAATTCACCAGTAAAACCATCTAGTGCTGGATTTTTCCTTCTTTGAACATTTTAAATTACTGGTTCAATCTTAATATTTATTGGTCTGTTCAGATTTTCTATTTCTTAATGATTCATTTTTGGTAGGACATGCATTTCTAGGAATTTATCCATTTCTTCTAGAATGTCCTAATTGTTGGCATATAATTGTTCACAATAGATTCTGATGATTTTTTATACTTCTGTAGTATAAAAGTTATATCTCTGCTTTCATTTCTGATTTTATTTATTTGAATCTTCTCTCTTCTTAGTCAGTCTAGCTTAAGATTTGTCACTTTTGTCTATCTTTTCAAAAAATCAGCTTTTAGTTTTTTTGATCATTTTTATTGTTTTTCTAGTCTCTATTTCATTTACTTCTGCTCTTTTTATTTCCTACTTCTGCTAATTTTTGGCTTAGTTTATTCTTCTTTTTCTAGTTCCTTGAGTAGTAAATTTAGGTATTTTGTTTGAGATTTTTCTTTTTTCTTAATGTAGGCATTTATTGCTATGAACTTTCCTCTTAGAACTGCCTTTGCTGCAACCCATAACTTTTGGTATATTGTATTTCCATTTTCATTTATTTCAAGATATTTTTTACTTTCCTTTTGGTTTCTTTTTTGACCCACTCATTGATCAGGAGTGTGTTGTTTAATTTCCATGTATCTGTGAATTTTCCAGCTTTCCTTCTGTTATTGATTTCTAGTTTCATACTAGAAAAGATACGAGGTTTATTTTAATGTTAAATCTATTATGACTTATTTTGTGATCTAAAAAATGATCTATCTTGGAAAATGGTCCATGTACACATGAGAAGAGTGTGTGTTCTACTGCTGTTGGACGGAACGTTCTTTATACGTCTGTTAGGTACCTAAAAGTTTGACAACATGGATGAAATGGACCAATTCCTCGAAAGACACAATCTGCTAAAACTTACATGAGAAGAAACAATCTGAATACATCCATATCTGTTAAAGAAATTGAATCAATAATCAATAATTAATAACTTTCCAAAACAGAAAACACCAGGCCAAAATGGGTTCACTGATAAATTCTACCAAATATTTGAGGAAGAAGTTGTACCAATTCTCTACAATTTTTTTCAGAGGACAGAAACAGAGGGAATTTTTCCTAACTCATTCTATGAGGCCAGCATTTCCATAACACCATTAGAAAGGACATTACAAGAAAATAAAAACATTGACCAATATCTCTCATAAACATAGATACAAAATTCTCAACAAAACATCAGCTGGTTCAACATTTGAAAATCAATTAATTTAATCCATCACATCAACAGGCTAAAAAAGAACAATCACATAATCATATCAATAGATGCAGAAAAAACATTTGACAAAATCCAACATCCATTCATGATAAAAACTCTCAGTAAGTATCTGATACCCAAAATTTATAAAGAACTCTTAAAACTCAACAAAAATAAAACAACTCATTTTAAAAATATGCCGGAGATCTTAACAGACACCTCACTAAAGAAGATATACAGATGGAAAATAAGCACATGAAAAGATGCTCTACATCATATGTCATTAGGAAAATGAAAATTAAAACAACAATGAGATACCACTACATACCTCTTGGAATGGCCAAAATCTAGAACACTGACAACACCAAATGCTGACAAGAATGTGGAGCAACAAGAACTCTCATTCATTGCTGATGGGAAAGCAAAATAGTACAGCCACTTTGGAAGACAGCGTGGTGGTTTGCTTCAAAGCTAAATATCCTCTTACCATAAAATCCAGCAAGTGAGCTCCTCAGTATTTACCTAAATGAGATAAAAACTTATATCCACACAAAACCTGCACACAGATGTTTATAGCACCTTTATTCATAATTGCTGAAACGTGGGGGCAACCAAGATGTCCTTCAGCAAGTGAACAGATAAATAAACTGTGATACATCCAGACAATGGTATATTATTCAGTGCTAAAAAGAAATGAGCTATCAATCCAAGAAATGACATAAAGGAAAGTTAAACGCATCTTACTAAGTGAAATAAGCCAATCTGAAAATGCTGTATGTACTGTATGGTTCCAATTATATGACATTCCGGAAAAGGCAAAACTATGGAGATCATGAAAAGATCAGTGGTTGCCAGGAGTTTGTAGGGTGTGGGAGGGATGAATAGGTGGAACAAAGATGATTTTTTGGCCTGTGAAAATACTCTGTATGATGCTATAATGATGGATATATGCCATGATACATTTGTTCAAACTATAGAATGTACAACACCAAGAGTGAACCGTAAGGTCACTATGAACTTGGGGTGACTATGATATGTCAATGTACCACTCAGGGCGGGAAAGTTAATAATGGGGAAACTATGCATGTGTGGGGTCAGAGGGTTTCTGTGAAATCTCTGTATCTTCTTCTCAATTTCGCTGTGAACCTAAAACTGATCTAAAAAAATAAAGTCTTCAAAAAAAAAAAGGCCTATTTCCATTCACTAAGTCTAGGCAATTGCCTCAATCAAAATTTTATCTCTGCCCAACTTATTCTGATTTAGAGATTCATCACTCTGACCTAAGAAAACTTAAAATATGAAGTTACCTCAAAGATGTATATGACACTCTCAAAAAAAATCTCAAAATATATATATATATATTTAATTCACTCTCATTGAAAATTAATTACTGTTTGTTCCAACATATTTGGAGGGATCAGGGAAGGACAGCCGCAGAGTGGTAAAAATCAAAAATAACTTCAAAAGATGGTAAATTATTGATCTAATATCAGTTATTAAATGATGCAGTATGTGCAGTGAGCCTCTTGTCTCCCTCCTTCCAAATCACAGAAGGGAACATGAAAGACTTCAGAGCCATATACATTACACCAGAAAAGGCAGGTGAAAGGGCAGATCCCCTGTCTCCTGAACTTTACTGTTCACAGAGGCCTGACCCACACGGAGCCTGTGATGTTTCCAAACCTATTCTTACCTGAAAAGAGGATGTGGGAAAGTTGGATTCACTTCAGATGGGCCACTTCATTCTAATCACTTTCAGGTCCTATTTTCTGCCCAGTGGCCAAATTCAGAACCCAATCAGGATCTAGTCGTCTTCAGGACTAGAGTAATTAATTAAAGCCTCCTTGTTCCTGAAGGAAAGCTTTTTGTTTGCCATTACACTGAAATAATTTATCTTACTTGGCAATGGATGAGCTCAGGATTATCCTGGCACATTGAGGTTACATGGTTCTAGCACTCCCAGAGTGTTACCGTCTGGGGCCAGCTACCTCCTAAAATTAAGCTGGGCAGAACAAAATGAGTTCACTGGAGATGTCACAGAGCCTCTGTTTCCATGCCAGCAATTGTTAGAAGAGAACACAGAGAAAAGTAGAAGACAAAGGAAAGAAAAGAGAGAAAAATGCAAGAAAAGTTGAAGAATAATAGAAAAACATACAGTGTCTAACCTTAGAGTGAAGAGATGTGTTGAAACTTCTGGGGAAAGCAACTTTGTCAGAAAGACTGACTTCCAACATCTTCTTGGACACATGTGGTTTCATGGAAGAATGGATTCTTAGCTACATCTCACTTTAGACTAAGAGTAAAAGATTGGGGCTGATTTGGAAATACACAAACTATTGTAATACCAAGAACCCACATTAAAGTAGCTGGCTAGCCATTAAAA